ACCTCATCTTGTTATCCTCGATGGCAACAATACAATACGTGCCTTGCTGCCCCTACTGTCACTGGGAAAGGACACCGCAAGATTGAACCCAAAGCTAAGCACTTCTCCCATTGCAAGAAAGATCAATCTAGTAGGCCAAACCAAACTGATAATTCGAAGAGACTTGCAAAAATAATCAATCATACATAAAAGAATTCAGAGAAGATTCAAATATTGTTTATAGATAAACTTGATCATAAACCCACAATTCATCGGTCTCAACAAAAACACCGCAAAAGTATATTACATCGAATAGATCTCCACGAGAGAGGAGGAGAACTTTGTATTGAGATCCAAAAAGAGAGAAGAAGCCATCTAGCTAATAACTATGGATCCGAAGGTCTGAGGTAAACTACTCACACATCATCGAAGAGGTTATGGTGTTGATGTAGAAGCCCTCCGTGATCGATGCCCTCTCCGACGGAGCTCCGAAACAGGCTCCAAGATGGGATCTCGTGGATACAGAAAGTTACGGCGGTGGAATTAGGGTTTTGGCTCCGTTTTTGATCGTTTGGGGTACGTAGGTACATATAGGAGGAATGAGTATGTCGGTGGAGCAACAGGGGGCCCACGAGGGTGGAGGGCGCGCCTGGGGGTAGGCGCGCCCCTACCTCGTGGCTTCCCTGTTGGTTGCTTGACGTAGGGTCCAAGTCTCCTGAATCATGTTCATTCCGAAAATCACGTTCCTGAATATTTCATTCCGTTTGGACTTCGTTTGATATTGTTTTTCTGCGAAACTCTGAAATAGGCAAAAAAAACAATAATTCTGGGTTGGGCCTCCGTTTAATAGGTTAATCCAAAAAATAATATAAAAGTGGATAATAAAGACCAATAATGTCGAAAACAGAAGATAATATAGCATGGAGCAATCAAAAATTATAGATACATTGAAGACGTATTAGGACCCAATCGGTAATGCACATCATTATAAGCCTTGTAAGCAATTTGCGTGAATCAAAACGTTGTATAGTGAGATGAATTTCAATGCTTGTTGTTGGGTAAGTGGGGTTGACGGGAGGGGGCGTTCTGCCGCCAATCAATTTTTCCGTGCCATTGTTCAAAGGAAGAAGCAGATTGCGCTAAGATGAGAAGGTTTTTCTCTACTGCGGAGCAAGAAAAAGGGCAAAGGGATTAGTTTAGTGTAGACCATAAGTCGCGAAGAAGGAATTCGAACGAGGTCGAGGTGGAGGAGCAGCATGTATGTCGTTCGGCAAGGGGGGGGAGGGGTACCAACGCTTATGGTATTCGTTCGCTCGCAGTCGTGCCTGATGTGAACATTCGTGCAAGTGATTCGAGAGAGGTAACGTCACCGGCTCACCGCTATATTAATGTCCTTGACTGTGCTAGATGTCCTAGGGCATGACAATTGCGAAAGATTTTGTGTTGGCCAAAGATGGCAACTCCGCTTCAGCTCTGTTTTCGTCGGAATTTGACATGCTTGTAAACTGAAATTGTTTCGCAATTGCATCTCTTTCAGCGAACGTCAGCTTAACAGCATTACCGAAATTTCGGTGAGTTCGGATGGTATAAAAAGAATGGGTTTGTCCGAAAAATATGACTTGTGAGTTGGAGGAACCTCGTGGGAAACAGCAAAAATCCCTCGTGAACTCGGAAAAGTTTCACGCGTTCATGTCTCCGGACCGCGTGCAGATGGACGTACTACGTGGACTGACCAAAAATATTCAACGGCCATCAATACATCTCCATGCACGGAATTTCGTGAGGCCCACTTTCCAAGACAGGCAAAAGCTTCGCATGCTTTCCTCCTCCTCCTCCTCCTGCCACTACTAGCATGGCTCCTTTATCTCTGCAGGGAAAAGTGAGCACTTGCCGCCCTTTATTCCAGTCACCTGCGTTCCGATCTGCGAGGGACCAGCATAGCATAGCTTTGTGTAACTGTAAACACGCATCAATCTCTAATCCTCTGAAAAGAAAGGTGTAGTACTACTAAAGCAAGCTACTCTCCCTCTCCGGGACGCACTAGCTAAATTTATAGCGGATAGTAGTACCTTTCTGCGAGTATATAAGATTTTTATTCTGATCTACTCTAGTACTAGTAGTTAGATAAGGCGATGCGGTTGTGTTGTGCTCCCACCCAGCGACGTGGACTTATACTGCAAATATAAACTTGCCAAGTAAGTAAACAAATGAATCCCATCATCATGGCCCTCGTCCACGTCCACATTCAGCTCTCTCCAAATACTATAAACTTAACATATCCTAGAAGGAAAAATGTTCATGGTCCACTCAAAGGCAGAACTCGAGGAGTGGAGTGGAGTGGGAACCAAGATGGGTTAAATTTTGCGTGGGGGAATCATATCTTAAGATCGAATCCACTATCACGTGTTGCCGTGTTGGCCCAGCACGTATTGCACCTGTGTGTGACCAACAAAAAGTGCCAAAGTAGCAAAGCGATCAGCTTTAGAATATTTGATTATGTCAAGGAGATTGGAGCCTTCAGATAGGGAGTAGGGAGTCGGTCAGTCGGAGAAGCCATTAGCGCACGCATGCAGAGATCATTGGTCTACCCAAACCGTACGTACTCCGAATTATAATTGTCAAATCCGGCCAGCCAACTTGAGGCCAAATGGCGGTCAGGATAGTTTACTGCTCCCCACGCCCAAAAGCAAAGCAGCTCACCCGGGCTGACAAGCAAGCCCTGCCCGTAGCCGTAGCCGTGGCGCATGCGAAAGCAGAGCACAGCAGATAAAGATGGCCAAAGTAGTGGAAGGAGATCACATATGCTCGACGACCCTGTGCTGCACTACCACTGCTATACGTCTACTCCTCCAACGAATAACGAATACAGTACTCTAGCTAGGCCGAAAGTGCGTGCAACAAGCTAGTATGAGTACTCGAGCAGTACGTAGTGTTCGCTGTGGAGGGGTACAGCTAGTCAAGCAGTAGCATCACTCCATTGCGGAAAAGGTGAAAAGACGGGCGCCGAGGCCGATCCGATCCATTGTGTACGTCGGTTTCTTGCTCCTGTTGCTTTGCTATGTCACGCTTCACAAGGGAGGGAGAGAGATGGGATGCAGTGCAAAGATGCTATGTCACGCTTCACTGGACTGCCAACTCCGGCTTTAACACGTCCTTGGGCCGCCCGCTTTCTTTTTCTTTTCTACACAGGCAGCAGTGCCCGCCCCCTGCCACACGGCTCGAGCTGGCTAAAAAGGCGAATGCGTAGGCGGAGCAAAAGCGCAGTGTAAATTACTAGTCGGAGTGATGCAGGGGTCGGTACCAAAGTGGCCACGGATGATGGCTTAAAAGTGCTAAAAGTAGGCTTATCTTTACCCTACTCTAATCTACTCCACTCTCTGCTCTAGCCTCTAGGTAGAGGTAGAGGTAGTGCTGTGGTGCCGGCCGTTTCACGCGCCACCACCCATGCATGCATGTCCCCGACTGACTGCTGCATGCACGCACGAAACGAATCATGCACCTGCGCAGGCCAGGCCTACCAAGCTAGCACAGCCGTATCGAGACGCGCGCACCACCCGTCGCTTTGCTCTCTCTCCTCTCCTTTGTCTCTTTTGCTGCGTTGCTTCCCCACTAATTTTGCTCCCCGTCAGTACACGTACGACCTGGTTAGTGGTACTAGCGTTTCACCTCACCAAACGTACGTACACCCCTCAGAGAGAAAAAAAAGTACGTACTCCTACAACCTTGAGAATTTCGCATACTAGTTTACCATCACCACAGGTAGAAACGATACGGCTGGATGGCGGTTGAGAGCAAGCAAGCAATTACTACTACTGAGCACCAGCTGCGTGCGTTCCTTGGGCAAAAACATAGACGTTGACGTACCCCTGCCGTGCCGTAAGTGAAACGTTCGATATACTGTCGTGGTTTCACGCGCCGGACGGGTCAAATCCGTGCAGACAATCCAAATCTGTACCTGCCTGCCAATTTATGCGCTGCGGGCTAACCGACAGTGGGACTGGCCGGCCACATGACAACTCACCCGTACGGCCCAGCCGGATGCGATGCGTGCGGGGCGGATCGACAGGCGTGCGTGGGCACAGTTGTAGGACAGATTCATTAGGGGGTGTTTGTTTACAGGGACTTTTTATATGTAGGGACTGAAAAAGTTTTTTTAAAAGATTTTTTCACCAAACGGAAGGGACTGATTTTTTAAGGACTAAACTAGGCAATTGGGACTAAATGAAAAAGACTCTCAAGAAAAAAAAAATTAGGACTTTTTGGAACTTTTCTTCCTTCATGCATTCAATGACCCGCCACCCCATAAATATTGTTTGTTATTTTTTTATATACTAGGATAACATGGTTATTTAATACTCCCTCCGTTCCAAAATAGATGACTCAACTTTGTACTAACTTTAGTACAAAGTTAGTATAAAGTTGGGTCATCTATTTTGGAACGGAGGGAGTAACCTCTAAGAAGAAACTAAAGACTTTTTAGTCTAAAAAAAGTCCTAGGACTACGAACCATACAGGGCCTTGGACTGGTCAAGATCGACCGGCACAAAAATATTCATGATGATGCTCAAGTAGAACTACTACGATCCGGCGAGTATACTCAAGCATAGCATAGCATCTTTTTTGACAGGAGCAAGTGTAATAGTAAAATATTGCCATCATGCAGCATCTTTACACACGCATGGAGCAATCGCACGGAAACAACACGGTTTTGGTGCCAATACTGGTGTGTACATTTTTTTCCCCAGGACGAAACAACTTTTAACTCGGGAAATTTAGCCACCCACATACTAAGATTAGTTCAGCACATTAACAGGCTACCTACTTATAAATAAAAAAACTAGCCTAGGATCTACATGCAAATTCCAACATTTGGAGGCGCATGGCTTGATCACGTGACGCTTGTGCAACACTGCTGAAGCCCACATGCAGCAGAAACAAAAACAAATATTGCAGAACACGACACCCACGACGAGCTCGGCCGCGCGACGTACGCCCACCGTCGGCGGCCTGGAGTTGGATGGTCAGGAAAGGAGGACGTGGAGCGAGGCGTTCTTGGTGGCCCCGCACACGGGGCAGGTGTCCACGGCGGGCTCGCACGCACCGCACAGGGACAGGTGCCGGCACGGGAGCAGCAGAACGCAGGCGTCCCCCTGGCCGCAGGCCTTGCACGACGGAGCCGCCGCGACCGCCTTCGACGCCGCGTCATCGGCGTTGTCGCCCGCTGGGGTCTCGAAGCAGCAGGACTGCGCGTCGTCGGCATCGCCCTCGGCAGCACCGGCGACGGCGCACGGGGGCTGCAGCAGCTGGTCCAGGGTGGCGCGGAGGCCGGCGGCAACGGCCTCGTGGCTCTTGGCAACGCCGAGCCACGCCTGGCCCTCCGCGGTCATCTGGCGGAGCCTCTCCTCCAGTTCGCCGTTGCGGTAGCGCGCGCGCTCCAGTTCAGCCTCTATGGCCTGAAGCCGCCCCGCCGCAGCGCGCTCCACAGTAGCCAGGACCGCCCTCGCGTGCCGCCGGCGCGCCTCCTCAAGCCCCGCACGAATTCTCTCCGTCTGCACCACAAACATAGACAAGGAAGTGAGATACCGTTCGATCAATCGAGTTGACAACCCGATTATGAACGCGAAGAAAACGAGGCGCAGGGGCATACCTCGAGCCGTATGAGCGCGTCCATCTCCACGCCCTGGTTGTAGAGCAGCGTGTTGAGGCCGGCAGCATTGGCCATCCTCCCGCTAGTGGACGCGGCGCCGGAGCCGACCGCCCTGCTCTGCGCATCGCAAGGCAGCATGAGCCCGTGCATCGCCGCCGCCTGCTGCAGAACCAAGCGCTGCCGTGCCAGGTCCGCGAGCCCCGCCGGCTCGTCCCCGGCCATGCGCGCCCGCTTCCTGGGCACGAAGCCGTAGTTGTCGTTGCATGTGAGCTCGCTTCGCGGGAGATCGCTCAGCACAGTGTTGTTCCCAATACACGCCACCGCGGGGGCGCACCCGGCGTGCTCGTCCAGGAGATGGGAGGCACCCGGCGCCGCGGCGTCCATGGACCTGTAGGCGTTGAGGTCGTGGGGGAAGGCGTGGGAGAGGAACCGCGCCTGGACAGCCATTGCGGCCACACCAGCACCGCTATGTACTATCTTGTCTGGGAGAGGGCGAGGCGGAGAAGGCAAGGTGTCTGACGCAAAGGACGACGGCGATGCGTGAGGAGTTGGGTGGGGGAGCGGAAACGGCTGGGGAGTTGCGATGGATGGAAAGAGAGATGGAGGGGGAAGAGGCGTGGAGTCGGGGGGCGGTTATATATACGGCGTGGGTGCGGGGAAGACACGTTGGGTTTGGTTGGGTTGGGTGTGTGGGGCGCCTCGCCTGCAAGGGGACAAAAGCTGTCTGGCTCTTGTTTATTTTGACGGGGAAGGGAGGGAGGGAGGCAGCAGCCAAAGCGGATGGGTTGGACGGATGCCATATCTCCCTCCCTATCTTTTCCGAGCCTGCCTTTAATAATGCCTATCGTTTACGGTGTGGAATGCTTTTCCTCTTTCCTGCTCTCTTTTTCCTGCCCCGTTTTTTGTTGCCTGCCTGCTGTGGCCATTGATTCGTCGTGGAGAGTGATGTGAGATGCGGAGGAGGACGGTGGTGGTCCGGGCGGAGATGGGGGTTGCATCATCATGATAATAAAGGTGGGCCACTCCCTGCTCTCGGTGCTTTGACGTTTTCCTTCGTTTCCCCCTCGTTTTCCGATGGCTACGCTGCTTCTGCAATTTACGATACGCCTACATGTATTTATTAGTAGCTACAGTAATTTAGTACTACTCTACAATACACGTAAGTACAGTACCGAAAAAAATACTAGGACTGTAATTTTTTTATTAAAGCCGACAGTAATTTACACTCTACTACTAGTACAATATAACGTGGGTTTGTGTGGTTCGTCTAAGCAGGCACGGGGACGTGTTATTCACCTAAATTTCAACTGGATTTTTCGAAAATAAACTGGAATTTATAACCGCTCACCTGAAAGAAATGTTTATCAATTCAGCTCTACTACTCAGAAGTGGACTCGCGTAGGCGCCGAATAAATGTTGAGTATTTTTAGATGGGATGCGGATGAGTTTCAACGGCACAGGCCACGGAGATGCGAGAATTAAGGTGCAGACGCCCCCACCCACACACAGCCTACCGTAGTACTAGTGGCGTGCCATTGAATGCCGGGCCGCGTTATTATTCACGCCTCGTCTCGTCGGTCACAGGTTTGAATACACTCCCCGAAACGTCAAGTGCGTGACCGTGATGCTCCCCCACAACCGGATCTACACCGAACCAAACCGCAGTTAGATGCGCGAATCACGTCCACCGGTAATTAATCCCGGACCCATGCCATGCATGAATCCAGACCCCAGCCGGTGGCCTGGCCACATTTACGTCTCATCTATCCGTCCATCTCGCGTGTGGTGGTGCAGTCCGTTTGCCGTCCTTGCTCCCAGGCCTTGAAGGCTCGCGCTCGTACCGACCAGCCCCGTCGGTCCGTCCTCGTTGGCACGGCCTGAGTCTGACCGGCCAGGGCGGGCCGGCCGGCTGGACCAGGCACGCATGCATGCCTTGCCTGCACTGCAACCACACCCACCACGCAAGGAACACCAGGCCAATGCACCTGCCACCGCTGCTGCGAGCGGCCGTGTCCGCACCGCACCGCACCGCACGCATTAACAACATCCCAACGGGAATAGCGTGACGAGAGGCAGCGCTGCTGTACCATCTGCGATCTGCCCACCGCCGCGCCGGCCAGGCACACTGCATCGGCCGGGCACCGGCCCTACGTACATACGTAGGACTAGCAGCACCGCCGCGCGGGCACCATGCAGATGCAGGACGCCATTACTCGCAAGACATGGTATGCATGCATGCATGCGCGGTTGTTACCGCATCAAGTAAAAACCCACTCGGGCGCTGCCCCCCGCGTCGCCCCCGCTCGGGCGACTCGGGCGGGATCTCGATCCCTAGCCGCCGCCGGTCCCCTCCCCTCCCTCCTCCCCTCCCTCCGCCGCCGCCGAAGGACGCCGTCGGCGATGGCCCGGGGCTGACGGCGGTGGCGGGGGTCCTCCCTCTTGCCTGCGCCGTGGGGGTGGTGCGGCGCCCCGCGGCATGGGTGGCGCGGCCGATCTGGCCTGGCGGCACGGTGGCTGCCTCGGCCAAGGGCCGATCTGGCCTGGCGGCGCGGCGGGCCTGCCTTCCGGCGGCGGCGCGGCGGCTGCCTTGGCCAGGGGCGGCGATGGTGGGGTGCGGCAGCCGGTTCTGCCTCGGGCTGCGTGGCGGCGTTCGGCGGCGGCGGCCGGGTCTGCGGCGACACACCATCTGACCTCGGATCGGCGCTGGTGGCATGGAGGGCCTGGTGGTTGGGTCGACACCATGCGGGTTGTGCCCTCCGGACAGATCTGATCTGGCCGGTGCGGCCTGCTCGTTGTGCGGCGGCTCAGATCGGCGGCGACCCGTGCACACATTACGTGATGGAGGTTCTTCGAGCGGATCCGGGTGAAAACCTTGTGCTCGGCTTCATGCCATGGCCGGCGTTGGTGACACCCTGTTGTGTCATTACCTTCTTGAAGGCATCGCCGTGGAGAAGCTCTAGACCTCTATCCGCTACCTCCGGGGGAAACCCTAGATCAGTTGATCGGATGACGGCGGCGCGTTGGTGTCGTTTTCTCCTTGGAGGCGTCATTCTTGGAGGCGTACACGGGATCGAGGGACCAGCGGGCGCTTTTTTGGTGGAGCGGTGCTTCATCCTTCACATTGATGACGGCGGATCTCGGCGGCGTGGTGCGGTGGAGACTCGGCGCCCGATGCGCGGTGATGGACTCGCGCAGGTGGAGGTAGTTGTCTGGCGTCAAGGTGGCGTCGATGACGGAGTGACCTCACAAGGTAGAAGCCTCAATATCTGCTCTGAAGACGGACATGTGGAAGATGGCGGCGACGACACATGTGAGTGCGTCAGACCAGTTTATGCCCCAGACCCAGTATGTGGCTCGGATGGGGCTTCCGGCTTTGGATGATAGGATTAGGTGAGTAGTCTGGGTATGTGGCCCAGGTAGCACCCCTGCATCATTTGGATGGGAGTAGTGGCATATGTTGTCAAGATGACGGATTCAGGCATATTGTTGTAATACTTTGTAAGGTCCTCGAGAATAATCAATAAAGTGGCCGTATGCATCTCCCAGATGCAGAGGCCGGGGGTCATCCTCCTTTTCTAAAAACAAAGTAAAAACCCACTGCCCCCACAGCCATAGTCATTGCGTACGTAGTTGCGAGAGTTAATGATAGTGCACGTCCTTTGTTAACTGCACGCTAGTAGTAGCTAGTAGCTTGATCAGTGCTAGCTGCTCGACTCAATAACTATTAACTGCAATCCTGTTACGTGGTCGCAGTAGGAGTACGTTTGCGGGGTCCCCCGAGCGGTCGCGATCTCGCCCATAACGCAGCACCATCGGTCCTTGGAAGAGCACTGTGTAGCTCGAGTACAATGCTGGGCATGGCTCTCATGGCCTCGGAAAGCCCAGAGCTAAGCTACTCCTGCGTGCCTACCCGACCGTCCGTATGGATCCACATCAATCAGTGAGCGATGGAGATTAGGTGCACAGTTGACGCAAATGGTGCGGTACTGGGTAGCCTGTGCATCGTGGATGCATGCATGCATGCATAGGTCGGGCCTCGCCGTACCCCGGCGAACCAGCAAGCCGAAATGATCATGATGGTTTTCACGACGCCCATGCCGACGCCACACGCGCCGCTGGTACGTGTACGGCTCTCGGGCCGCTCCCCCGGTGCCGTGCACAGTTGGCGCAGTCGGTCACACATGCTCATCACATGCATGCGTATGACGCACCGATCCACCGCACAGCGTCTATCTGGCCAGCAGCGGCCAGCAGTAGCTCTCTCTGTGTCTTTGCATGCATAGTGGGTTGACAAGTCCAATTAATGGCTCAGTTTTGGGGCGCGTACGTACGTGCTCCATCACTATGCGAATAGGGTTTTCTTTTATTGTCAAAAAAGAAAAGAAAAACTCAAAGCGACTAGTACTACTGCGCGAATAGGGATCGGATGCGATGGGGAGGCAGCAGCAGCTATCCATCATCACGTACTGGTATGATTCGTTTGCTACAGCCAGCCTACAGAGGCGCACAGGACACAGCAATGGCTGTGGTGGACCAGAGCTTGCTATATACACGGACGCACAAATTAAGCAAGCAGTACTGTACCAGTTGATCGCGCACAGCGTTCTGACCCCACCACACCCATCGTTTTCTTCTTGATTGAGAGAGCAGAGAGAGGTGGATCGAGGCGGCTCTCTGTGCATTGCATTGCGCTAACTCCAGGACTGCACGAGACAAGGCACCGGTCGGTCCGGCCCACACACGCAGTGTATTGCCATTGCCATTGCCAATGCCATGCATGCATCCTTGGCCCGTCGTCGTGGTCCCTGGGTCCTCTCTACCGATAATGAAGGCGGGAACAGTCCACGGAATAGCATGCCATGCCATGCCATGCACGGTGCCAGCTAGCTGTGCAACGGTTGACACTGCTACGCGTAGGGAATACATTTCCTGTCTCGTGGGCCACCGGCCAGGCATATTCAAAGCCCTTCCTCTCTCCCACGCAGACTCATCATGCTGCTGTCAATGCATGAGTGCTCTAGGCCTTGTTTGGTTCCAAATAAGTCATCAATTTATAAATCGAAAAGTGGAAAAAAATAACTTATTTTGCCAAACACGTCCAACTTATAAGTCATCCCAACTTATAAGTCATAAGTTGCTCCACCCCAATTTAAAACTTATAAGTCACCCCCTTTTGCATGGGTCCCACCACTTTTATATAAAAAAACAAGGTGAAAATGTATGATCAGGTGACTTATAAGTCAGGTGACAACCAAACGGACGTGACTTATAAGTCACTGGTTTTAAGTCACCTGACTTAACTTATAAGTCAGGTAACTTATTGAAACCAAACAGGCCCTTAGATAAGGTACTAAACACATTAAATAGTTTAGCAACTATACTCCTCAATGCATAGGTGCTTAGCTTAGGCTGGTCGTAATGGTAATATCATAACTAGTATCATGCAT